GTGATAGTTCAGCTAAGACCCTTTCAGGTGAGTACTCAGAAGCTTTTCAGTCTGAGGAAACAGGATAGGCTGAGGAGTTGGCAGGGTGAGGCTGGCTGTGGCTTCTTCTGTCTCTCTGATCCCCAGGAAAGCTTTATTAGGGTGCACAATATATCACCCAGAAGTCTGCATCTTCTAAATATTCCATATCTCCCAAACAGCACCACTAACTGGGACCCAAATGTTCAAATACCTGAGCCTAAGCAAGTACTTTCTTATTTAAGCCACAACAAATGCCAATAGCCTTTATTGCTTTTCCTGTCTCCAGGACACCTTTAGTCAACAACTGTGTGAAGGTATCCCACACCTAACACAGGATTTTTATTTGACAAATTATGGTTTCTAGGAAGAGCATAATCTCCTGGGTAGGATAAATCCAATTAAACTTGTGTGCATGTAACGAGTATTGTTTACAGATACCTATTAATTTCAGTTCACCATATTTGATGAAAGTCTCAGATTCTCTTTGAAAATAATTCATAATGGGGGAAACTGAAATTATACATGACCCATATTCATGCCATTCTTTGGTGTGAACTGTGACTCGGGTACACGCCCCATGTTCACAAGCTAGTCATAGGAGCTGTAACTCAGGCCTCCATCTGCGTATTTTCTGAATGATGTGGGCATTTGTTTGCACTGCTGCCCACTACTCAATTTTCTGCATTAGACTCTATACTACAGAAACCCAGAAAATCAGCCTTTCTAGTGCTGTGGATATCATTCTGTATAAATAAAACACTGATTGGCCAGTGGCCAGGCAGGAAGTATAGGCGGGACAAGGAGAGAGGAGAATTGAGGGAACAGGAAGAAGGAAGTGGAGACACTGCCAGCCACCGCCAGGGCAAGCAGCATGTGAAGATGCCAGTAAGCCACGAGCCACGTGGCAAAGTATAGATTTATAGAAATGGATTAATTTAAGATATAAGAACAGTTAGCAAGAAGCCTGCCATGGCCAAACAGTTTAAACAATATAAGTCTCTGTGCTTACTTGGTTGGGTCTGAGCGGCTGTGGGACTGGTGGGTGACAGAGATTTGTCCTGACTGTGGGCCAGGCAGGAAAACTCTAGCTACACTCTAGTCCACCTTCCTATTCTGTAATAAACTACCAGAGGTGGCAACATCTGTTTACGCCTATGCAAAAGTGTCTGTCAGGAAACTCCACGAGAAGGGAAAACACTGTTAAACCAACGTGTGTAACTTTATCATCGACTACCATGTCCTTTGGTGTTTAGTCGTTCCGAGTGGCCAATCAAAGTGTTATTTCTCTCTGAATATCATGATCTGCCACAGCTGAATTAGGAAGACAATCGATCTTAATTCCTGAAAACAATTTAGAATCAAGAAGATTGTTGACTAAATATTTAATGATATGATAGCATATTGTCCTCCCATTAATTAAAAACTGGGCATTTTTCTATCTATTCTACATTTTACACATGAAAAGATTATTAGACTCAATCTCATTCAAAAAAAGTCATGCTCCTATGAGTGATAAAGAAATTGGAATTTTATACATATGGAGCCGTGACTAAAATCATTAGTATGTAATAAATAATGCTAGGTTATAGAAACCATGGAGCAAGCAAACTTTCTCTACCACTGCATCAGTAATGTTTCGTGTTTTAGCTTTGGGATCTAGAACTCTAGAAAGATTGTTTGAGATTGTTTGGCTCGAGGACACAACTTTATGAAAGGTGGCTGCAGTTCTAATAGTCACAGGACTTGCTCAAGGTCAGACAGAAAACTGTCTCTGAAATACCTGCAATACTTGTTCTGTTTCCTACGACAAATTTCTACTCCATAAATCAGTGAAGGAGCTGACTGCCCATCAGATGGCCATGCTAAGGCATCTGGCATATGGATTCTCCTCAGGATGCTGAACTTTGTTGCTAGAGCTAAATTTAATATGGAAGAAAGACAAGGAAGAGGAAGAAGAAAATATGTGAGTTCCTTGAAAAAAAAAAAAAACTATGAGTATCCAAGCTAAATAACTGACTGATCAAAGATTTGTCTATACCTATGAGATCCAGAGAAGGGAAATAAAAGAAAAGTTTTAAAGTCTGGCTGTCTTAAAATTAAAATACTTGCTTGGCACAGTCATAACTGAATGGAATGGCAGAAGTCATAAAGCCATCACAGCTGCTTGATAAAGATCCAGCAAAGCTGAGCCTCATCATGACTACCATGTCACCTTTGGTTTTCATCTCCACCTATTACATACTTGGGGCACTTTTAATATTTGTACAATTTGAGGATGTTGGATTGATGGAAAATTCCTTATGAATCATTTATGCCTTCTCCAAGGAATGCTGCTTCTAAGCTTACCCAGAAAAGTCCTGAACATACTATTATTCCCCCTTCCCCTGCATTTAGGGAGATATCCTTATCTACTTGAAGGTCTTCCTTACACCTTGGAGGTTGTGACACATAAAGAAGCCAGAGGTCTCTTCATGAGGCTATGAGACATTCTTGAAACATCTGTCCCTATACTTACACTGGAACAAGATATTCAAAACAAAGTAATTTCAAAAAGGTCAACAAGATCTGGTGGGCTAGAGGAGTTGGGCACAGTTCAGATTACAAGGCTCTTCCCACTGTACACTCAGACAATTACGTGGCATACAACTCTGCCCTACACAGAGACATATTGATGACCAAAGTATGGAGTGGAAAGATGATAAAAGTATGAGGTGTTAGGACCTCTCTTAGAAGTTAGCTCATGTAGAGCCACTATAATGTCATATGAACAAGGAACAGCAGAATGCCAAGACTAGACATTTAAACAAATTCTATAAAGATATAAATGTGAACATTGATTGTATTGTGCCAGAATTTGGATAATAACTGCAGCAGCTTTAGCCTGAGGATTTTTTTCCTGGGCACTCTGACCACTAAGAGTTAATAATACACTGCTTGAGACATGGCAAAATGCCCAAGGTGGTTGAAGATTTTGTTTTAGTCTAATGTCCTTGAAGCAACCAAAGCAACCAGCCCAAGCACAGGCTGTCATATGCCTCTAGATTCTCAAAAACTGGGTTATAGAGTTAATGAGTAAGAATGATAACTCTTTATTAATGATGTCAAAACTTGAGGGAAAATGATTGGAAATGATAACTCTGTTCTGTCATAGTTTATTAATGATGACTAAAAGATGAGCAAAAGGAAGTGAAACACAAGTCCAAAAACCAAAAATGACATGATCTATGTTTTTGGAACATTATGGATGTATCCCTGCTTATGAAATTCTGTATAAATAAAGAAACACTCTGGCTGCTAGTCAGTCAGGCTGCAAGATTCTCCTGACCACCACAGCCTGACTCACTTCCTTCCCCCACCAACTCCTTACATCCTCTGCAGAACCCATCCACCACTAGGGATGGCTCCCGGCACTTGCTTAGGAATAGGAAGTTGTTACTAAAACCATAGAATGATTTGTTACTTAGAAATATCCATGTGAGAATAACTTAAACATGAAGTAGTTGGGAACACACCATTTTTTGTCGATAAGTTCTCACCCCACTGAGGTTTTACTATGTCTACCAGTATAACCAGACAGATAGGGCTGTCTGAATGGGCCAGTCCAAAAGGCTATCCAACAGAATTCTAACCTGTCATATTAGAGAAACAACTTACAGTTAAACCTTCAGTCAGAGCGAGTATGATATTATATGTACTAAAAGAAAGAGGAAAACTCTCCCTGAATAAGCCCTTAGAGCTATACATTCGTCCAATGTTTCTCCCTTTCCAAACCTTATTCAAATGCTCTGATATCCTTCTGTTCACATTCTCTTTCCATGTCAACAGCTGTCAAGAGGCAGGATGCAGAAGGAAATAATACCATCTTAGAAATATATTCATTGTGGCAGGAGGCACCATGGGAGATGAACATGAATCGCTGCTCATCAGGGGACAGGTGAGTTTCTAGTAAATGGTACATTAGCTTCTTCTCTAAGTCATTTCATGAATTTGATGTAGTTTTTCTCAGTTTTTTACAAAAGATAAAACATAACGTCAGTGGAAACAGAGAGGAAGAAAGTCAGTGTAAGGGAGCTAGGTGGGGACGTAAAGAAAGGAGATGGAGCTTGCACTGACTTTGCCAAGTGGCTCTTGGAACTTCTTGACCCCAACTGCAGAACTGGCTCTTTGTAGAAAACTCTATACAAACATTTTCTTACATTTGTTTTGTAACCTGGTCTATGTGTACTTACTTATTTTATTTTATCATACTAGTGGTTTTAGCTCAGTCATCTTGAGAAAATCTGAAGACTTCCTTTTCGTCTACCACCCTTCCTTGCTCCTAGTCTAGTGGTTTTCAAACTAGGTATGAAAACTCATAAAAGTCAAATTTTACTTACCAAGTTATCAGAGCCATGCTGTTGGTTCACACATTCCTTCTCTTTCCAGGAGTTCTGACTCTTGCAGATCCTCTCCTGTTTTTTAACGTTGTTTCAGATTGCAATATCTGTTTCTCCCTGAACTTGGTCACAGTCACAGTAAAGCTTTCTCAGAAAGGCACAATATGCAATCTCCCAAACTTCTTGGCAAAACACATTTCAGTGTGAACATTCACAGGAAAGAAGATGCGACTCTTCAATAACACATTTGCAAATATATGTACAGATATTCACTGTCCACTCCATTCCAAGTCAGTCGTCATGCTACTCCGAGTGGATGAATTATACTATGTAACATTTTAAAATTCTTTTTTAAATGGAGGAAGTTTTAAAAATAGTGTTTCATTAAATCTTGATCTTAAAAATAATAGTGACTACCTTTAATCCCAGCACTGAGGAGGCAGAGGCAGCCAGATATCTGTGAGTTTGAGGACAGCCTGGGCTACAGAGTGAGTTCCAGGACAGGCTCCAAAGTGAAGCAGAGAAACTCTGTCTTGAAAAACAAAAAACAAAAATAGTGACAGCAAAAATTACTTTCTGTCTAAGTTTAGAAACCAAAAACTCTTTCAATCAGTAAATTGTGCTTTATTGATATTTTAATTAGAAATGAATTACATACAATAATATGCATTTAAAGAAAATGCTGATATGCCCAAAGACATATATAACAATAGTAATTATAATTGTTTCATATAACACATGTAATTTTATTTGAATGCACAATTGTCAATCTGAGAAAATACTGACTTCCCTGCACACAGTGAATTTCTTACAGAATAACGGAAGTCCAGGATAAATTCATGTACTAAGAAAGAAACAATTGTTTTTTTGTACTTGAAGGATTCTGGAGATAAAACAGTAGCTTAAGTGTCTGAAAATGATAACCTAATTGAGTTCTTTCCAAAGTGTCCTTAGCAAACACTTCAGACAACGTGAGTGTTAGGGGGGAAATGTCTCATTAACTTCTGCCCTTTAGCAAGGAGAAAACACAGCCGGCCAGCATCTCCTCATGCATAAGATGCCCCTGAACAAACAGCAGATTTAAAGGCTAATCCAGAGTTTATAAAGAAAGATTCCCTCACAGTCTTTGACTTCCCTCCCTCTTTTCCTTTCTTCCTCCCCTTCTTTCCCCCTCTTCCCACTTCATCCCTTCACTCCTCCCTCTCTCCTTCCCTTTCTCTTTTTAAAATCCTTTCTTTAATTTTATCCTGTGTTCTACAGTCCAAGAAATTTTATCCCCATCAGTAGCACAGGAAACAAAAAGTAACTTCATGAATCCATGATCCTTGTAAAAGTGCTGTTTTCTTTTTCCTTTTTAATAGCTGATTTATTTTGGGATAGGTTTCTTGGAATGTGATTTGAACATGTCAGAGATGAATTAACTGCCGGAGCATGAGGTCCACGTTCACCTTGCTCACTTTCAATATGCAAATTGACATGCAGTTTGACAATGATGAAATTATGATGTCAATACAACTTCATTTGAAAACACCAGTTTAGAGAGTTAAATAAATCTGGATAGTTTTGATGTTAACACCTATGTTTTTTCTCTATTGCTATAAAACCCTATTGCTTTTTAGCTAGGAATATAAATAGCTTTTTTCAAAGGCCCCCCACATACCAATCTAACTATACAATGATCAGTTGCATGGCATTAGACAAATTTCATAGTATCCCTAAACCTCACTCCTCTCATTGGTAAATACAGGTGATAATGTTATTGGGAAGATCGAAAAAGATTATGCATAAATTCAATAAACTCATTTATCACTGTGTCAGTGAAGAATAATGGGCAAGTAAATGCTAGCTCTGATTCTTTACCAACTCTCCCCTAGAGATGAAGACACTCAGCGAAGAACTCAGGGCGATTGTTGCTGGCTTCTCTTTCCTTTTTAGTTTCTTTCCTTTTTGGATATAGTTTTTTGGATGTGTTCGTGTTGGGGATTGAATTCAGAACCTCATGCATATGCAGCACACTGTACCACTGAGCTACACTCCCCAACCCTGCACTAAATTTTGTGAGTACTTCAATGTGTACAAAAATCACTCAGGGCTCAGAAATGACTTTGTTAAAATTATTCAATATAAAATATGAGTAAACGTGTGATATTTTGATATTTTTAAGTCATCATGGAAATGAGATTTATACTTAAACAATTTTACCCTTGCTTAAACCCTCTTGGATATCATTTATGGAAAACACTATAAGATGCAGATTTGTAACCATATCAAAGAAAAATCAGTGTCATTGTTTCTATTTGACTAAAAAAATCAAGTCATCCTTGACAGTGAGGCAGATCATGTGAGATGCTCTGTTTCATTTGAAAGAACTTTTTACGTCATGAAATGCTATATAAATATAAAATGTCACCAAGTGGGATATTAAAGGATGAATACCCTCACCAAGAATACTAAAAATGATGCCTCAGGCTGTTAAAGAAATTCTGAAAACCTCCTAAGGCTCTGAGCTTTCACAGCAGTGTTCTGACATGTGTAGTCTCCAAAGTGAATAGCTGGAGGTAGACATCGCACACTTGAGAACATAAAATGTAGTCTACAAAATGTACCCATTGATTCTATTGATTCTCTGAATTCTCTGCTGTTATCCATTTCCAATAATGCCCCAAATTATCTTTAACCAGCTAATTTTGTCAATATGAGTCTTAGACTCCTGAGCTGTGCTCTTCACACTGGGTCTTTAAAATGAATTCCCCCTAATTTGGAGACCCAGACATTTTTCTATAGAAAAGAGGGGCAAGAGTACATGAGTGATTTAATATTAATTTTTCTCCTGAGATAGTGATCTGAGATTGGAGGGGAATTTGTAGAAAAAATAAATTTTAGTTTGTAATTTGTGGAGTCTGTTGAGTTGAGTGTAGATGAAGGGTCAAGGACTAACCATCTCTGCCTGCAACAGTAGCCTAAGAAAATAATACAGAGAATCAGCAGGTGAAATATTCTTCCCAGTTTTCAAACATGCTTGAGTAGACAATACAATCTATGTGAGCAGTTAAAAACGTTGTAATTTAAACTGACAACTCTCCAATCACCTGATGGAGAACCTTAGAGAGACAAGGTTTGAGCACATATTGTTTCCTTATTTGGGGAAATTAATTCTGCCTCTATCATGTTGGCTATTGAACTGAGTCCTTCAGACCCTTGTCAGAGGTCATTTTAAATTCTTCTGAATCATTTGCTTAAGAAGCTCAGCCTTTCACTTCCCTCTCCTTTGCTTTGTATTCATTATACTTCCTGGCCACAGCCAATGTGATACTTCTTAATAAAAACTGACTTATCTCTTCCTCCTAAGTGCGGCTTTAGAAGCATCCTATCAGTGTCTGCGGAGGCAACTTATCACAGCTGAGAAATTAGGGATGGTGGATTAGTAACTTTCCTGCTGAGCAATAGGAAGAGAGCTAAAGTCTCTCATGTCGCGTGTTCTGTCCTATTACCCATTGCAAGATATTCATCAGATCTTATGCAAGGATAGCCAACTGTTTGCCCATATAATGCTTTAAAAAAAAGTAGCAAATAACATTTTCAAAATGAGTAAGTTAGGAATAAACTTTTGTTAGGAAAAATCACCATAATATTTTTTAAAATTTCTCATCAAATAATCAACTTGGAGTATACAAGTGTGCTTCCAGACATAAGTAGATCTTTTAGGTAAAGAGAAAGGAGGAGGCAGAGCCATGATACTACAATGAATTGTTAATATAAGGGGACATCACATAGGTGCCCCTGAATTACTAGGCCCAGTAGCCAATCTATTGTGGCAAAAACATTGTCAAGCTCTTTCAGTAAACTTTTGTGAAATCACCCTGCTAAACTACTCTATAACTCACAGACTTTTAGTAACTTTTTTCTTTAACTGGCAAAAATGGAAGACTCATTTAAAAATGCATGCATAATACTTGCCATTGTGTGCTCTGACTTAATGTTATTTCTATTCCCAGTGCTTTAAGAAATACTAGTTGTTTTCTGAACCAGGCAAACATACTCTCAAATGTCAACATTCTCAAATTTTAAAAGGAAAGAATTTTAAATTGAGAAGAATAGAATTACAGATATACCAAATCCTTCTTATTCAGAGTCACTTCTGAGCTTTTCACAGTTTTAGATTTAATGTTAGAATTTAAGAAGGTTTGAGTTAAACACCAGGAATTTGAAACTGTCTGTCAGAATCTTGATTTCTAGGTACTCTGTGGACGTTCCAGTTGACTTCTAAGAAGTTAGCATGACACACTTTTTCCTAAATTCAGTCATTACTTTTAAAGATATCTTCTGTTCCAGGCATAAGGAAATATGAGATGAATCAGGACTCCAGGAAGGTATGTCCAGACAGAAGAGTTCCATTACCAAAGCCCGAGAAACACCAGCATCCCCGTTAGAGTGAGTGTCGTAGACGCAGTTCCCGGTGCACATCCTGCGCCAGTTGTGTCCAGAGTTCTTCCGTGGTCTGCTCGATGGACTTGCTTCACATCACTGAAGTTCATGTTGTCTGGCAGCCCTGGAGGACACATAAGAAAGCACAGGCTGATGTGTGGCCGCCTCGTCACGAAAGCCTAGACTAGTTCTTATAACCCATAGGCCCGTGTCACCATCCCCTTGCTTTTCTTGTCCTCTCTGCATTCTCCCAGTCTCCCAAACTGTGATTCCCAGTTAGTCCTGACCTGCTCTCATTGTAGCAGTGACATCTTTATATGGGTGTCCTTGAAAAATAAATCTTTGGTGATATTTCTCTAATGTCATTGAGTGACAAAGAAGCAAAAAAAAAAATTAGTAAGATGTATTATCCTGAGATATTCCATTACTGTTTTTCCCATCCTGTCAACTACAGGACTAGCAACAAGTTTTCTCATGAGAATTCAACAAGGAAACATGAAATAATTAAATAAGACTGCTTAAAGTTGAATTTCTAGATATTGCCTTATATCAGAACAAAGTAAGCATGGGGCTTTTTTCTTACTTACTTTGATTTTTCATTAAATTTTTATTAAACACAATACCAAATACAGAGTGATGTAATGATATAACACAATGTGGAATGAGTAACTGGTTTTGTATTGTGACTTAAATTTAGTTAGCAATTTCAAAATGTACAATACAATATTATGAGCCGTGCTTACTGCTTTGCATTATGTCTGAAGCATGTGTACCTCCCGCCTGAATTTTACACATCCTCTCTCAAACATTGTCCTCCTTGGCCACCACCTCTTCTTCTTCCCCAGCTGGAAGCCTAGGAGCTCCACAAGTCCCAGGAAAGCAGCATTCTACACTCCGTTTTATGAGTGTGACTGTTCAGATTTCACATAGGAGACTGGGGATAGGGACACTATTATAATATCCCAAAATCAATGAATTGTGTAGCCTTTTGTGCACATAGAGGTATGAAGACAGCCATGTAGGTATCTGTCAACATATAAGAGAACTCATCAAAAGAAACACTGGCAATTGAGGATAGAGATGAAACACTCATTTAAATATAAAAGAAATAAAAGGCAGGTGAAGTGATCTACTTACTTTTTAATTATTATTCCTGAGAATTATGGAAGCTTACAGGCTGGATAGAGAATGGTCCATAAATGATTTACAATGAACCAATTGTTTTCTTCAGGTGATACACTGAAGGAACTGCTGTTTTATCCCTCATTATCTATTGTTGTCAATGTTCTAAGGTCATGTGACTCTGAGTTATGTCATGGCACGCTGCTATCTGTCACAATGAAAACATTTCAACTCAGTGTTACTACAGCCACAAATATTGACACCATAATTACACTGAGACTGAAAAAAAGCTTCATCTAAGGAAAAGTCAATATTTATGTAATTAGGTCAATACCCATATATAATTCAGAAGGTAAGCCCCACTGCATCCAGGGATGAGAGCATTAAGACAAAGCAAGCTCTGCTGATCTGCTGTATTGATTTTGCAGCCTGAGTTCTGGCATTATTATTCATTGTTTGGGTACTTGTTTTGCCCTTCTGTGTCATTAGGCAAGATGAATAAACTAGCGATTCATTTTTTTTTATAGGGACAGGAGTTGAATGTGAATATTTTAGTCATGGTTTAAGCCTCTTGCTGAGCTAGAGCTTAACTAGAAGCTAAGAGGACTCCAAGCAGCTAGAAAAATGCCCCCTCTTCAAGATAACTACATATATTGAAGCTTTACAGGATTTACTTGTCTGTTTTTAAGCAATGTGGATTGGTGTTTGGAATGGATTCATGAATAGCTTTTTCTTTTTAGGTCTTCGGAGATGGTGTTTCATTCCTTTCTTTAGGAGCTAGGCACTGATCTAGGTTCTGAGAACACAACCATCTACACACACATGCAAGCAGAGTGGCCTTAGGTCTTATGCCTCCAAGTCAGACAAAGTCAGGAGGGCTGTGCTGCTTTCAACCCAAGGCTCTGTTTTAGTATCTGAACTAGGTATGTTATTAATTGATGTAAGAGTCTTATGACTTTTGAGTAAGAAGTGAGCATGCCAGTTACAGCTATAGTTATGATGCCTGTCACAACCTGGTATTGTCATCTGTAAATAAATATAATCATGCTGAAAAAGCTAATATAAAGACTGTTTGGTACAGTGATTGTTTTCTTAAAGAAATTTAAGTAAGTTTGGAAATTATGCCAAAGTTAACCAAAGACTCATTAAAGAAAAATTGGTTCTGTATTTAATAATTTAATAGATTAAATAAAAACAAAGAAAAATTTGAATAATATTTTCTATACATAATAGCAATACACAAAGGTACTGATAAATCCATATTTCTTCCTCTAGTGGTTGTCAGTCTAGTTGGGGAAGAACAAAAGATTCTATTATCAAAAATTCAATACAATCTTAAAACTTGGGCACTATTCTTATGGGCGGTGCTGTGAAGGCTACATAAATGATGGACTATGTTCAGGGAGATGGACACTGTTAAGGAGATGGTGAAGTGTGTCAATTCACTTAGTGACATCTGCAATACAATTTCTATAGCACTTCACAAATATAACTGCAGCAATCCCATAGGGTAGGCAATGTCCTAGCAAGTTGAGTAGATGAAGAAGTAGAGGGACAAGGAGCAGTGACAGTAGACTTGAAATTCTGGACCTGGAGTGTGTTCAGATGACCCCAGCCCCATGGACTCTTTGCACCTTACAAGACACTGACACATCATCATTTATGTTGAGAACAAAGGAGATGTTCTTTTCTTCTTCCTTGACATTTGGAATGGCTGATAATATATGCCAATTTTCTGTGTTAGTTAATCAACAGGAAATATTCAGGGGTGGAGGACATGTGGCAGGTGGAGGTAAATCAGGGACCTGAGGATTTGGGAGGATTTCAGATCTTCTTTGTTATGAACCAGGAAGCTTTTTCATTTAAGCAAAAGGATATGATATTTTTCTCTATATACCTCTCCTTCATCTATTCACACACTATAAAAATTTCTCCACATTTCATTAAGGCATGAAGACTGTGCCTAATGATAAGTTATTTTAAACAAGGAAAATTGCAGGGACTGAATTGTCAATATTGTCAATTTGTTTACTTTTTCACAAAATCTAGTCACAGTCTGTCAGAGACTGTACTAGAGTTTCAATACATAGAATGCGTTCTCACCAACTTCATAATTTGGTGGATCTAAAAAAAAAAAAGAAAAAGAAAAAAAAAAAACGTGAACACCAGGAACCTTTTTCAAAATGCTGAAAGGTAAGGGGAGATTTAAATGGACCATAGAACAGTATCTGAATTCAACACTAAGCTGATCATGGTGTCAAGATAACTTCTTTCCAGAATGATATTCATAAAATCATGGCACCTTGTATCTGTTGTACAGTTTGGTTTGAATGAATATTGTTGAAATGGTAATTGAATAATGAGCTCCTTGCCACATCCGAATGTGTTTAGTTTAATTATTTCCTTCTCATCTAAAGATTAGGAACAGATGTAGAAATGGTTATTTATTCAAGGTCTCTTGGCCGTGAGTGAATCTCAGTATGATCCGCTCATCAACTCCAACACCATGCTCATGAGAATGCACATTCAAAGCAAGTTCTAGTTTTGCCAGAGCATGGGTAAGTAAGTAACTTTAGCTGTTCTTTAGGATGACAGAATTTTAAAAACTTTGGAATGAAAGCGCTTTTGGTGAGAAAAGAGAGTTCATCACAGCATCTCTATGGGACCAAAAATTAAAGTATAACAATGAAAAGGTAAAAGAAAAGCATACATTTGTAATTTTATTTATTCATAGCTGGGGAACAATCCTATAGACTGTTAAGGCAGGATTTTTAAAAAAACATTCATGACTTTGACTCTACAAAAGAAATAATTTTCGTATGATATAATTAGCCATTGTAAGAGCAAAGGACACTGCAGACTGGAGATAATACACACGACCTGTTCCGAAGAGTGAATAGCATTTTTAACACAGAGTTCCTGCGTTCCATACAAAACCAGCACATGCTCTGATAGAATAATGGTAAAAGAAAACCAAGGGTAATTACAAGAAAAACAATCTGAGTTAAGAATAAAATGTTATGGTGAAACAAATAAATGTAAATTTTATATAAAGAGGTGTCAATTATCTTTTGTTCAGTTTGTAAACAACAGAATGTATTAGTAGGGAGACTTTAGGGAAAGTTTCCAAAATATATCAAAACTGTTTAAAATTTACCTTTACCCAGACACAATAATTCCACTTTTACAAAGCTGGTCTATGAGAATAATTTAGAAAAAGTGCACACAATTATCCATAAAATGCATATGTTACTGAAAATTATTAACTATTATGTGTCCTTTAATATGAAATCATGTTAAAATATGAAGTACATTGATTATTAAAAACTATTAAAATGGATTTTGGTAGAATTATATATGTGCTAGCAATGTCTTTAAGGTTCTGTTATCTCAATCAAATATCACCAAATTACTGTGAAAGTAGAAGTTCTCTCACTAATTTTTGTATTGACATGGTAAACTCCTAGTAACAATTTTGTGAATTAATAAATTGAGAAATAAAAGCAAAGGCAGAAAATTGTAAAGTCACAAAAATAAGTTTCCTCAAACTTGTTTCTTTCATTATAAAGGCCAAGATTATATTGAACTGACTGAGAATGTGAAATAAAAATAAGAATTAGATATGAAGAAGTTGTAGATAATATATATATATCATATTGTGAGAAAAATTGGAACAAAGTTTTAGAATAAAGTTGCTATGGAATTCCAACCAGATCCTCTTCCTGTGGATGTAACTTGACCAACCTCTTCCTTAGTGACATGACAGGTGAGTTGTTTAAAAATCAGGTATGGTGATTTGAAAGAAAATGGCCTCCAAAAGGAGTGGCACTATTAGGAGCTGTGGCCTTGTTGGATTAGGTATGGCCTTGTCAGAGGAAGTATATTGTAGTAGGACAGACCCATAGGATTGAGGAAAATGGCTCAAACCAATTGCCAAGGCATGCACATAATGTACTTCCTTATGAACCAACCTGGAGTTTGCCTGAAGGCCTAGCAACAGGC